TCTTTATATTAATACGTGAAGCAAAAACTTTGTATCCCTTTCTACGAAAATTGCGCGGACGGAGGAGTATGAAATTTTCCACACTTATAGAGAATATAGAGAAGAAGTGCACAATGCTATTTTTTTTTTAAATAATGCATAAAAGATACAATAAATCAATAAGGAAAACATTACACACACTACATACCATGTATTTGATGCACACACGCATGCATACTATTTATTGGCAAACTTTTGTTCTTGACGTATATTTTTTATAGTGTAGCCTTGGCGAAATTTGAGATTATAGGAGTAAAAAATACAATCATAATAGTGTACAAACTTACAATTCCAATTAATTATAGTCAAATTTCGACTACTGCAGGATCTCTAGTCATCATTAAGTGACAAATCCAACTTGTTTGCCATTTAATTAACATTAAAACAGCTTCACAATTATAACGTAATAATTGGGTCCGTGTCTATAGTTTTAATTAAAATTATTAATATCTCATACTAAAGGTGTCGTATATCATTCGAGTTATGTTAACGCTGTATATAAATATTAATTATGCAGATAATGGCTATAAATTATTGAGCAAGGCAATTAACTTTCGCGAAAACCTGGCTTATTGCATTCGACTAGTTTCAAGCAACATATTAATTCCATAAACTTGAGTTAAATCGTTATTTTTAGTATGAATAATAATATGTTAATGTGATTTTTAAAGATTATTACTGTAACGCTCAACATAGCATCAAAATATGGAGTGGGTGGCTCCTGCAAAAGCGGTCTATTGCGGATATCGCTTTCTTCTTGTGAGAACACAATATGGATGCGTTTGGAAAATTGGCAGTTTGTATTTTCCGATCCTTATGGGCTCTCATCATCTGCTGTGATTTATATAATTGTCTACGTTAAACACGTAAACTCAATTGAAGTTCTATTAAAAATATCCAATTGTTGATGCTAATACCAAATAAAACGGACTTTTAATTACAAAGATAAATGTCATGTATTAAGTGAAATATAGGGGTAGAGGCCTAGGGGTAGAGGTCCCAAACGATGGTCGGACCAAATAGCGGAGGAACTAGGGGTACCTGTCAGCGACGCACTTCAAGCTACAAAACGGAATCGATGTAGACAGCTGGTTGACGGAATCGGACGGAGTCACAATCCTCAGCAGTGAGGGACCGATCGAAGAGAGAGAGAAGCGAAATATTGCTTAACACGTGACATTATTTATTTATTTACTTACTTAATTTCAGTAGTTCATGGTTAGCATGAAAATAGGCTACTTCAGCCATACAGCAGTCACATTCAAGACTGGTAACGTTCAAATTCAGATATTTAGATGGGTTTTCATTCATATTTACCTACTGGTGGCAGGACCTCTTGTGAGGTCCGCACGGGTAGGCACCGCCGATCTGCCTATTTCTGCCGTGAAGCAGTAATGCGTTTCGGTTTGCCGTTGTAACTATACTTGAGACCTTAGAACTTATATTTCAAGGTGAGTGGCGCATTTGCTTGTAGCCACTTAACACCAGGTGGGCTGTGATATCGTCCACCCATCAAGAGCAATTAAATTCTTGAAGTCATGGTGAAGACGAATGACGGTTGAAAAAAATACGTTTAAATTTATTTATTTATTTATTCAGTTTCATGCACGAAGGCACAATGGCGGACTTAATGGCTGAGGCATTCTCTACCAGTCAACCAAGGGTGGTGTAGAGTCCTGTGGTATGTGCATTACTTATTGTTACTACTTGAATTTCGTCACAAGTCGAATTACTTAAATTTCATTCCATTTTACTTGTTTTCAATGGTAGTGAGGATCAGGAGTTCGCGCGATTTATTATATTGGCTCGTTCAAATCATTATAATATTGCGAGTTATGTAATAATTTTCGTATCGGCTTTTCCTCAATAATACCGATTAATGAATATGTTATGAAGACCGATGTTCTCGTGTCTCCTTTTTATCAGAAACATCACTGGCGATTTAAATGCAAATGACAGTTAAAAATGCAAATGTACATTTGAAATTTGGAAGCAAAAACTACTAATGCATCACTAACGCGTCATTAATTTTAATTACTTTACCTCGTGAATAAATAATTATCCATTAAATTATTATTATCTTTAAGCTTTATAGTGAGAAATAAGTTTGATTAAATCGTTTTGACAAAAGAAAATTTGTGTTCTTTTAATTATTTTATATGGGCAAAGTAGATGACGACCCGCATTTTATTTATGACGGAGAAATATGAGATCAGATGAGTTTTCATCAGATGCCTTTACTGATTTATTAAGTTTTTGAATGAGACTAGATTTATTTAGAGTCAAACTCACGCTGCGAACGGGTTTTTAGGTTGGATTTTTTAAATTTTGCATATTTCATCCACACTCCTCATAGCCTTAACTATATACCTAACTGACTATCAATCATAATGTGTGTTGCGTGTTCTCGCGTTTGATCCAGTTTTATTGCATTCACATACCGACTATATAAAAGAAAAACACTGTTGACAAACTTCCAATAAGATAAAAGCAAATCTTTATTGAATTTTCAAAGAAAATAAAAACAATTCGTATCATTAGGAGACAACGGATTGGATTCCCTTTTTTTGTTTCGAGACAGTTAATTTAGTATCATGTTAACTAACTAACTAACTAACCCACATTCCGGGTAAGATTTTAGTTTTGAATAGCACCGGAAATAATAATTCGATGGGGAAGATCCTAACGTCTATACTCCGATCGGTAATGGAACCCGAACCAAGTATTGCACTAGTCCGGGCCACCAAACCTTCTTCATGATATTTTGACTATATATCTCTATAAAAACTTAAAGTGACATTTTCATGTTAAGTATATGTAAATGCGTTTACAACGATCGAAAATTTTATTGCGTTTATAAATTTCGTAATTCAGTCGAGCTCGTTATATAAGTATATTTAAGTAATCTAATATATAAAATTCTCGTGTCACAATGTTCGTTCCCATACTCCTCCGAAGCCGCTTGACCGATTCTCATGAAATTTTTTATGCATATTCAGTAAGCTTGAGAATCGGCTACTATCTATTTTTCATACCCCTAAGTGATTAGGGTTGTCCACCCCTAACATATGTTTTTTTATTTGGACTTTTTTTTTTGTTATAATGAGGTATTATGTGGTTGAATGATGTTTTGTTATTTTTGTTATATATTCCCTCATCGTTCACAGCACTACATACCTCTTTCACTCATTTACCACATCCTTACACACTTACAATAAGTTAGTTTTTTTTTCTACACTAGAAATTCCCTAGAAATCTTATATATGGCAAAACAATGTTTGCCGGGTCAGCTAGTATAAGTATATATTTAATGTTGATTATTGCATTTCGAATATGTTTTCCCTGTTGTTTGTTCATAATTGTACTATAATTTCTATGTATTATTAGTAACATTAACCAGGTATTTAATTATGGAAATAAAGTTACGCATTTAAAAAAGCCTTATTGAAATTTAAACTGGGCGTATGAAAATGAAAACGTAAGTATGTGCCCGATATTCTTAAAGCATTAAAACATAGTGCTCTGAGGAATTGTTCGAGATGATACCGGCATCTCGTTTTTACCATCGCACCGCCCGCCACCGGAGTAGAGTTCATCCATACTACCTGGAGCCACTGCGGTCATCCACAGTGCGTTTCCAGAGGTCTTTTTTGCCACGTACCATCCAGCTACGGAATGAGCTCCCCTCCACGGTGCTTCCCGAGCGCTATGACATGTCCTTCTTCAAACGAGGCTTGTGGAGAGTATTAAGCGGTAGGCAGCGGCTTGGCTCTGCCCCTGGCATTGCTGAAGTCCATGGGCGACGGTAACCACTTACCATCAGGTGGGCCGTATGCTCGTCTGCCTACAAGGGCAATAAAAAAAAAAAAGAACATATTATACGATAAATTACTGTGGTACTTTAGAAACACCCAAAAGGCGGTCATAAGGTATAATATGCCATAACGATGTTTTTGTTCACGGAGTTTTGTACGCTTTACATTGAGGTTTCGAAAATTATTGAATTACTAGTAAGTACTTGCGCTCGAATTAGCAAACGAATACTGTATTGTTTTTATGTATTATCAATGTTCTAGCATCAAGATAATTTCCCTTAGAATCAGTGCGTTAATGGTCGGTTGTGTTATTTCATCGCGTAGTGAACGCTGCGTACAGCGTGATGTATGACGACAGACAGACAGATAAATTGCTTATAATTTATCGTAGTGGAAGCGGTAATAGTCCTAATTACGAACGACGGGCGACTGACTCACTCTGAGTTATGGTTGATGAGAAAAATCCGTTTGAAATGTTATGAGCTCATGAGTTTTTGGGTCACAATTTTATGATCTGTAGTTTTTGGATATCATTCGTATTTTCCAGAATATAAAATTGACATAACCGATTTGCGATGTGAAGTTATTTTCACTATTTTTTTTTCATGTTTTAATATTTCTCATAGAGATATGTATTAGGTTCAAAGTGTGCGAATTACTATTCTGATAAGTTAAAAATATGAGGCTCGTACACTTGTTCCATTATTGATCTGTGATCAAATTTCTTTGTTCTGTTTTATTCAAACATCAGCCAGAGCGAATTTCTTTTAGACCACAACTACAAACACAAAGTATCAGAGCGTAATAGGAAATGACGCGGGAGTCTTATAGCTTTGTTAAATTGTCTCCTATTCAATAAACATTTAAGTATCACAAATTAACTGTCTACTTTTATAAAAGCGGTTAGTTCTGCAATTTATTAGCTGATTGTTGGGCGAATGGTTTTGAGTTCAATTCCCATTTTGGGCAATATATTGTATCTATCACCCTTTGGTTCCTATAAGACAGAAAATGCTAATGAATAACATGATTACGCATTATGAAGATTGTAATATTGATACTTATCACTCACACCTTAGATTGTTTAATGATCTAAGACTCACAAGTTCGTTCAGGGATTCACAAATTAAAATACAAAAATGAAATTAAAATATTTACGTATATTTTTCTCATTTTATTTCCCTTTAATAACAAATTATTTGTAACAGATGATCATTAATAAGAGTTTCTTCGGTGATTATTCCGTATGAGACACGCGTAAGTGTCCAATACAATAACTTCTATTACATTACGTACTTTGCGATATATTTTACAATAAATAAAAGATTTCAGTGTCGTGCTATTATTGTAAACTGCATATTATTAATGTCGTACTAAAAGTGTTCTTTAGAGATTCAAATGTCATGACAGTTTTGATAAAAAGATCTAATGTTGATTGATGCAGCGAGCAAAGTAACTTGTAACACACAATATAAAGTCACATAATTTTCGTCTCAAAAATGGCTGAGTTTACAAAATTCACATTCCATGTTACAAGTTAGTCAAATAATAATACTAATTTAAGAAAAACGAAAATGTCTTCAGTCCATTTTTTCTAAATAATCGTTATTAAAAAATGTAAACCCTTAATAATAATAAAAAAAATATCGAAGTAATAAAAAAAAAACACAAATAACAACTCTCGCTAATTACTTGCAACAACTTAAATTACGTTATTAAATTATACATAAATTTGGTACATAAATCCATTAACTAGAAAAATCAAACGCATGTTCATATTGAAGCGTTCCGTGCACTAAATCATTATGAATATTACGTTAGAGATCACAGCTGCTCAGCCCTTCGCCTGAGGGCCCTCACGTCGCGGTTGATATGAGCCGACTAGAAACCCGAAGAGCACTAGGCTATATGTACACGCACTTCGGTTCCGAATGTCCTTTTGGCATGGGCGTTTAGCGATCGGCGCCCCCCTTTTTGTTTCCGTGGAGCGCCGCTGGTCCTCAAGGGTGCAGGGGCCGCGGCCCGAACAGTGGATATGAAGGGAAATATGCCGCGAGTGACGGATGCGGTGGCAACGGGAACGGCAGCGATGGAGACGACACCAGGTGGGAAGGCTTGCTGTACGGATGGAACCTGGGCGTGAGCGGAGACAGCGGAGGCGTCGGGTACGTCCTCTGAAGTAAGGGATGGGTTGCACTGAGCATAGACAGACTCGGACTTGATTCACCGCTCGCTGTGTGTGACCTAAGGTGTTGAAGCAGTTCTTCCGAAGTTGAGAACCGCTTTCCGCAATAGGCGGAGTCACCTGCCATCCAGCTGCATACATACGGTAGCTGCGATGCCGCTGCTAGTGCGGCTAGTTGAGCGTGAGCATAAGCCGCGGCTGCCGGGTGACTAGTCGGTAACGGGAAAGGTGTTTTGGCATGGTCACATTGTGCGCATCCAGCAGGACACACGGCAGATTTCAGCAAGTGTGAACTTAGAGAGCAGCCTGTGCAGTAAGGGTCTCTGCATATTCCTAAATCACTCCCGGGCGCTTTCATCCTCGCGTAAGCTAAATACGGATTCAATCCATTTTTCAAGGCGTGGTGTTGTGCGGCCATTAGACTGCTTGTCATCAAATCCATTGGTAACGGGAATCCGGAGTGAGGCAGGCCTCCGAGAAAAGCGGACGACGTCACAGGTATGCTGGGCTTGAAGCTTGAAGTTTCTTTGGTTTCAGTGTGGGACGACAAAGAAGTAGGTGTATACGATAACTTGGAAGCAGATGAAGTGATAATTGCGTCTGCGTTTGATTTGGCCGGCGTGGGCGACATTTGAAGAGGACTCGACCTTTCGTCTGACTTTTCCGACGGCGTTTTGCGATTTGCGGGTGGTGAAGTCCTTTGAGATGAAGAGCTCTGATTACTACCGCACCTAGCTTGCACCGGAGTGTTTGAAGAGCTTCCCTTCGACGAAAGAGGTGATTTGGCGTGAGTATTTACAGAAGCTCTGTCTTCCGGGGTTCTTGTCTTTTCTCTCGAAGTCAAACACGATTCGTAAGGTTTGAAACTGGGCTTGTTGTCGGTATGTATAGGTTTGTCGTCGTACTTTTTACTGGCCTTTTCAGCGGCCGAGATGAGTTTAGGGTTTGGCGCGTCTGCTCCGATGGCACTGCAAGTCTGGGCCAATAGCGCCAGAGGACTCTTTTTTGCGTCGAGCTGCAACAAAGAGAGGGTTTTATGAAATGAAACGTCGGGTCGAGGTTGCAAGTGACGGGCGTACAAAGAGACCGCGGGGGTGAGCAAGGCGGGAGCGGGCGGGAGGGTGTCCAATCACGCAGCCGACGCGCCATTATCCGCACGTCTGGCAGCCGTCGGCTCCGCTTGACATTTCACTCGACTCCCGCATGATGTAATCTCACAGTGAAAAGGGCAATTTGTGCCGGTGAATTTGCGGCTAGCTTGGAGCTGTAGCGGGCTGTCACGTCTATCATCAGAGATTCGATGTTGTACGAACTACTTGCATTACTGTCATAATCTATTTAGGTATTTTAAATTGTTCAACGTTTTCTTTCCTGTAATGATTCTAATTTAAATATCTGACACTTTTCTATAATTTTGTATTGAGATATTTTTTCCAGTCATCTGGAAATACATCCAAAATTGTGTGTTCATTGATTTTATTGAGAGAATTCATAAAATGTTTTTATCATCTATCATCGTACTTAAATCTAATTTTAATACAAAAACCTTCTTTTGGCAATAATTTTATTATATTATCATATTATTATCTTGATCATTTAAAACAGAAATCATATTTAAAGTATTAAATTAAAATTAAATTTTAATATAAAAATATGATTTTGGTTTTTTTTATTTTGATTTTAAAAAGAACGTCAGAAAAAATTCCTAGAGTAAATTTTTTAGGTTTTAGATAGTTGCACTGAGCATATTAGGTACATTCCTTTTTTAATTTTCGCATTATTTCTCTTAGCGCTTTACCGATCTTAAATTGTGATACTAACAAGGTATTGCGTCAAAATATTTCTATGAGGTTTTATTTAAAATAATTTCTTGGTTTAATATTTTGGGACCTTGTGAGTCCGCACGGGTAGGTAGTACTATTCCACCGGATTCTGCCGTGAAGCAGTAGTAATGCGTTTCGGTTTGAAGGGCGGGGCAGCCTTTCCACTATAAAATTGAGATTCGGAACTCTTGTCTCAAGGTAGGTGGCGGCTTTTTCCTTGATTTTTTTGTGTTTCACTAGTGTATATTAGTGAACACATTTGATAATTGAATCTTTATTTTAATATAACTAACACCACAAGCTATTAACTTTGCAGCGGATGTACTCAACCACTGATCTACTGATACATAGAACTCTTTAAATATTGAAATTTCATATTCATTTATACAGCATCTCAATGACTTTTCAAACAGTATTTTGTCTTGCCTGTAGATAATAACCGTACGTAATTAGCAATTTGTTATCAAATTCTTTATGATTTTGCTTCTTGTATTCTTAATGAAGTGAACATGCATTTATATGCTATAGTTTTCCCTTTATCTTAAAATTGACACGCTGAATAAATATCTTCAAAGTATTTTTGCATAGTTAAACTACATATTTAAACAAGCATAGATTGTTATTGTCGATTCTATAGCAAAGCTAATGATTACCAGCTAACTCGCCAATCCAATCCCGTGATAGTATTTAGTGAATAATAATTAGCGTTTATAATTTCGCGTAAAGATTTCGACAAATTGATTCGTAGCGGTAAATTGGATAGCAAAAGTCGTCGCAGACGTGACCTAACCGTAGGCGTGATTGACAACACTCAGGGGCCTGTCTATGACGTCAGTACTGAGAGCTACCGAAAACCGAAATAACTGAAGGCATCTTATTCAAAATAAGACAATAATTCAAGTTCGGCACAACGTTCAATAATGGAGAAGGCGAACAAAAGGAGAATTAGCGTTTAATAACAAAGAAAATACATTTTCTTATTAGTCGATACGGAATACTTTGATAGGCCTCGTGATGTTCGGATCAAGCAAAACCATTTCATTCAATCTAAATGTTACTTGAAGAGTTTTTAATGACAAAATGAACCGAAGCATTAAGTGTCAAAAATGGCCTCGCACATCCGAGCATAACACGCGAATCAAAACCCGGAGGATTTATTTTCTTGATCGGGTCTTTCTGAATGATTTCAGATACCAGGAAACGAGTGGGAGCAGGTCCATTGACAAATCGAACACACATCACACAGGGCAACCGGAGTTATCAAAACTTCCAGCGCTCAATATTCGTACTGTAAAATGAGATGTTTCTATAGCATAGAGATAGTTTGCTTTATATTCTTTGTAAAGTTGTTGAACAACTTGAAGTTTTAGTCAGATAGACTAGAAAAAGCCAGAACAGCGCAGATTAGGATTAGTTTTAAGGCAGATCTTTCATTAATAATAGTCATGTAGATATATATCTACGTAAGTTAAATTATTGAACGAACTATTTGCCTTAACCATTTTCCTTAATTTCGATAGTTTTTTTAAAATGAATTTTCTTCATTGTTCTATGGAGGTTAAATTTTATTATACGATTACACAACACCATACAATGGCACATGTATTAATTAAATATATTTTTCTTGTCACTAAAATACACAAGATAAATTTTCATAAATAAATATGCTTAATTTAGTAAGTACGTAGATTTTACACATACATAATTTTCATTGTTTTCATGCAAATTAGTGAAATAATTTTTGTAATGAATATTTTATTCAATGCGAAGTAAGTTTTTAATGTGTTATTGTAATTAAAATTACATTAATTTTGAAGACAGAATTTCGAGTTTGGCGTACTACTAGGTATGTCTCTAATTTCTTGTTTTTTAATGCTAGCAACAACATCTTTCAGACTTGTTGACGATTTCTTGAAGTTTTAATGTATTTACAAACCATTTCAGAGGATTACAGTAATAAATTATTATCATGTTCTTCGGCTAGATTTCTTGGCGCTATTTACGGATACTAAGGATTTATGGGCAACTATTATTTTACAAAAATACTGTGTAGGTATGAAGCACATGGAAGATTCAGGGAGCTTTCAAAAATGTTTTTAAGGATCTCGGCGAAAGGAATAAATTGTGAACTTTTCCTATTCCCTTAAGTTCATTTTTTTCTATTGTTTTTACTCGGTTATTTAAAATGTTCACTTTAAATTTTTTCTTTCTAGTCTCAGTAACTTAGACTATAGGTACATCAATATTTGACGCTCGCTTACACAATTCCTGTAATTCTGAACTGAGATTAACTTTTATGCGCATATAAACTAATTTTCTTTATTAAACTTATAAATGTATATTGAAATGCCTCATATAAATAACAATATTGATATTAGAATTTAATATTATTTTTAATTACCGTAGTCGGCAGCGGCGACAGGTAATCCGGTCTCAAATACTGGTTACTTGACGTGAGCATATTGCCCCACAATCCGCTATCCTTATCCAGCTTAAAAACAATAATAATTCACACACAAAAATAAACACTTCACTCCGTTTTGTCAGCACATGTCACAACTTCCAATGCACGGTCCCCTTTAGAATCTTTCACAGACGTGCGTACCATCTGACAGTCGGCGCTCAACTGAGTCAGTTACGTACCCCCCTCTGACACCTTGTCACTCGTCGCCACGCCATTTTTGCATTCTGTATACTTTGCGGGAGCTTTGTCGTCTTATCCCCACCGCTGTTTGACACCCCGTTTTCTATCTCGCTCGGAGGGAATCGTTTCCGAGTTTTGATGAAAGGATTAAATAAAATATGCATCGCAAAGGCTCTGACGATGCGACGGAGATGCACGGCTGAGGAAATTGAATGGCTTTGAGAGTGGTAAGCGCGAGCATCGCTTTTGAGCAATAATTTACTTCTAGCGCTGTACACCGTGTCGATTTTTAGATACGTCGTTGAAATGTTTTGTGTAATTTTTCCGTGCAATTTGTTAAAGCGACGTCGTGATTATTTATGATCGCCCGTTGACAGTTTAATGGCTCGTTTTACCATGAGAAATATGTTTATGAGTTTTCTTTGTTAATCTCGATGAGAGGTTGAAAATGTCAATAGTTATGATTTAATTTTAATAATATAATTCTATTTCTGTCCAAACAAAAAGATCGTGAAGAGGTTTTAACATTTCTTTAATATAATTGTGTGTTTCGCTTTATTTCGAGTTCGCAAGTCATTTAAATAAATATCGTGCGGACCGAATAACGTAGGTCGATATCATTATACTGACTCGTTGTTTACCCAGTTCCCTTCGTGGACCACCGGGATTTTATGACTTTCAAAAAATCCCAAACTGTTTACTTATTATTATTAATGAATGTCATCATAGTTTATTTTCGTTTTAAAATTATCTGTCGTTATTTTGTTGAAGTGATCATTCTGTAAGTTAATGTTTAATTGCGACTTTTTTTAAATGTACATATTATAAAGTTCTGTAGAGCGTACAGAATAAGCCTGTTTTAGGGAATATCCAATTGTGATATTTCATTATTTATTGTGAGGAATACATCGGGTCTAAGTTTTGTTACTAAATTTTTTTATTTATGTGATTGGAATGTGAATGTGAATTTTGTATTGGTATTAGGTATATTTTTCCTTTAAAACTGCAACGAATAATCACTTTTTTTCCAGAAATAGGAATTATCGTAGTAATGACGCGTGTTAGTTTAAACCAGCCATCATTACTCGCATTTCAAATTTCGTCGGTGATATGTGATTTCTATTCACTGTCTGATTCTTACCGGGATTGCACGTATACATGTTGCCTCTGATGATTCTAAGATAATTAAAATATTATTACCAACATCCTATTATAATATTTTACGGTACAACTTAAGCCGCAGCTAAAATATTATTAAACAATAATGACAAAGCAAATAGCTTGAATAGAATCAATGCGATGTCAATTGTAGGTAGCACCGGCGGTCGCCGAAGCACGCACGTTCTACTCGCTCTGTAGGGTTGTCAATTACATAACAAACTCATTTTAATAAAATAAAAATCATGATTCTAAAATGTGATGTAATGATTAGTTTTTGTTGATGGTAGGACATATTGCTGTTTCTGCTCCGAAAGAGTCGTGTTTTTAATACGCATTTATTAGCTTCATACGTATGTTAGTATGTAACGGAATCTTTGAACATGATTTTGACCCCCTTTAAAACGTCGGATTAACTCGAAATTTGGCATACTTATTATGGACCGATGATAATTCAATATTTTGAACAGTTTGATCTGTTATCCTTACTAGAATTATCAGGATTAGCAATTTTTTGTTTTCCTGAGACCCGGAGTGTCTGCGTCACCAAGATATTATCAAATCATATTTCAGGATATTATTAAAATAACCCTTCTACTCATATCTGTTCATAAAATATTTATAACTATTGATACGATGCACCCCACGCTTTTTTTTACAATAAAATCATTTTTTCTTACACTATTTTTAATTCAAATGTATTAAAATTTATTTTCTATTTTTTAGTTGGACTTTCTATAAACTATTATTTATTTATATTCATCTTGTACGTAATTTTAAATAACGACGGTGAATTTACTGTAAAACTTATCCCTATTTCTGAATAATCCAATATCAGAGGTGGGACTACAATCTCCTAAAAATGTGAAAGACATAATCTTCTGCTAATTAATATATTATAGCCTTTAATATATATAGCTTTGAACCAGCCTTTCAAAAGTGTTAGTTGACATAGCATATAATATTTTTTCATTTCACACATAAACAAAACGTGTTAAAGTTTGCTTTTCAAAAAAAAGTAGAAACCAACATCAAGCCAGCCCTACAAACATCAAATAGGCCGCAGAAGTCCGCTGTCACTAGTGATTGCTACCGCGGCGATGGATTGCACCCGGTCCCGATTATCGAATACCGACCTAATGCTTCACACAATAAGGGTGATTCAATCAATAAACGATGAGTCATGATTGATACTTTCCAACTAATGCGATGCTTTGCTGGATAAGGAATGGTTTTTGTTATTGTTGGGTTAAATAATGCATGAAATGCGGTTTGGGCCGTCACATCACGCTTTTTGACATTCGGTATGGATAGATAGTAATATGTTTTTATTACTCTCGATGAGTGAACGAGCTCACGGTCACCTGGTGTTAGTTAAGGGGAGGTCGGAGCCCATAGACATCGCCATGTGCACGTAGCCACCCAGATATAGTCATGAGGTCCATTCTGTAATGTTATTGAAAAACTGCGGTCCAATCTTTGACTGTAACGTAAGCTTAAGTTTTAGCGGCAGAAATAGAACTACCTGTTGATACCCATCCGTGGGGACTTACAACGCGTTTTACCATCAGAGCATATGCAGGCTACAAATAAAGCAGGATTCGATTGCCATTCTTTCAAAAATAACCCACTGACTTTTTCGCTGGATATTCTTAGTGGGTTGCGATTCCGATCCAGTGGTATATTCTGCGAAGCAATCCTTGCTAGGCCTAGTGTTAGCAATTCTCTTAGGTTGAGCCAGTGCACGCGTAGCTGGATCTGGAATATCGCCTTAGGCTACCAGAGAATACATAGAAAAAATTGTTTCCAAAAATTTCTACGGCGTTTCTTGCGTTGCATAATCATAAGATGTATACAAAAGATTAAAATCAAAATTTATAAGAAAGTTTAGCCTAGCTTCGTTTATCACATGTTTTACTGATGATATTAAAGCTGAAATAAACTCAGTGAGAGCTTGAAAAATGTCTGTATGCAGCACAACCGCTTAAGGCTGGAAGTAAAAGCTCACCTACAGCAAAAACTAAAGCACAACCTCTCTTTAAAGCTCAAAGGGTAAATGTAATTTGCTTTGTACAAACATAGTCAATTCCCAGAGCGCTTAGAATGCATTGCACAATCTTGCAGCGTTAATCCGACCGTGGTCGTTGCGATCTCGCAGATTAGTTTTGGCATGAGAGCGCGAACGTTGAGCCGCCTTGAGCCGTTTGATCCAAACGAGCCATGGGCATATATCGACTTAAGCCTCGGGACTAGCCAGATAAGAGAACTAGAAAGAATCTAGACAAATTATTACATTGCTCGGATTTTTAGTTTGTCTGTATCTTAACTATGTACATTGTCTTTGTCATTTTCATGTCTGATAAAATCTTCGAGAGTTTTTCGATGAGAACCGTTAGGCAGGAATTTATGTATATTTTCAAATTCAATCACAGAATCATATATGATAAGACTCTTTGCAGCTATCAACTCTATCAGGTTTTTGCAGCTATCAAACAACGTGTCTACAATTCGTCTAGATCAGTACTAGTATTCTGTTTTGCTGGTACCTTACTAATTGAGTATTTCTTGTAAAATGTGTTTGACCTCCAAAACATTGATTGTAGGGAACAGCCACTCATTTTTGCCGCTAAGCAGTGTTTTGCGCTTTGCTCTAAAAAGTAAGTATTGCTCCAATGCATTTTGGACGTTTTGACGTATTTTTGGACGTATTGACTATTTATTATTCAATATAAATAAACTCTTGTCTGCTTACAGGTTTTCAATGCACTAGATGTAGTTTAGTGGTCATTGGTGTTCATAGAAAGCATAACATGAATGCCACCATTTACTTCGAGGCGAAGCCGAAGTGTAATTTGTATTGTTTTTTTTTGTTTTTCCTAGTGACCTCGAGGGGTCATTAAAATTTAACTTGAAGTGTATTGTGTAACCGGCGTCCCATCCTTCCAATTGGTGAAACTAGATAGGAACTTGGGCCTCCAGTAATGTTTCCTGCCTAACAAAAGCCCTCAAATAGAAACGCATTGAAATAGAAAGCAGAGTCGTGGAAACCATTAGTTGAGGGGTCAGAATTCCGCTACTAGTAGTAATTTCTCGATTTTTATAAATGTTGCGGGTATGATTCATTTTAAAAGTTATTTATTGTACCTTCATTGTTTGATGATCGGTAAGGACACGAAGCGTAAGACGAAGATGTACTAGTTATGAACGATTTTCTTCTGTTGGCCAACCGTTTTTTTTTATTTACCAGCCATTCACCTACTGACTTGGTGGAGCAGTAGTTAGCGCTCCTGACTGTTATGCCGAGGGTCATGGGTTCGATTTCCACATCGGGAAAAACATTCGTGTGATGAACAGATTTGTATGTTCTTTGTATGGGTGTTTAATATCTATTTATATATGTATTTAAAAGTATATAAGTATTTATGTCATTCTCTGGTACCTATAACACAGCGAATCCTAATTGGGGGCCCGATGACCGCGCGTGATTTGTTCCTGGTTTGTTATCATTTAGTCAGTTAGTTAGTTAGTTAGTCACGAGTTTTGGTGCTATCAACGAAAAATATGTGCGAATATTTAGTTCTCTTTTCTTAATGATAATAACAAGACATAAGAGAAAATGGAATATAATAACAGAGTCGAGGTTCGATGATCGAGTTTCGATAATTGGACGAACACTAACTGATATAAAGATTCTCATTGCATTCGAACATCATATAATGATTAGTCTTATACTTATTACGGTCACGGATTCACTCAGTCGTAAGCTTCTCTGACGTGAAGCAATTTCAAAGTTTACTGCTCCGTGATAAAATGCCTTGTTTACGCGAAAACGGAATAAGATCTCTGGAGTTCATACACTGAACGAGTCGCTGAGCAAACACACAAGTGCAGGATAT